AAGATTTGTCCTCTAAATTTTTATTAAAGCTTGCAACGAACCAGGCTCGTTCATTGCAAGACTCTGCCCGTTGAGCCACAGCCAATGCTGATGGCAAATCTTTGGGCGCAGCTAAGAGAACTACATGTCGGACTGATTTTTTTAACCCGGTCACAAAAGCGTTCAAAGCGTCCTGCCGTGATCTATTATTTAAGATAGCGGCAGTATTTGTGTCATAAGACAACAAAGTCTTACTAATAATAAGAGTTAGCTTTCTCTCAATCTCATTATAAAAAGTCATTAGGGGAAGTTCTCCCTGACGCATAGTAACCATTTGTTGTTGCGTTACCTCGATTGGAGTTTGTTCTGCATAAGCGCAGTCCATTCTAGCTATTATAGCACCGAAATTTAGTACTGTATTATGTGACGTAAGCATTACTCCCGCGGGGCCTATTACCTTGTTACGTATGATTCCTACGGCCTGGTAGGTTCTAGAGCTACCCAAATATGGTTTGTAGATTTCGTAGGCGTTAACTGCTGCGGTTCGCCATGCCACATACTCATCTTGTTTTCCGTCAAAACTTGGTATGGACTTTACCAAGTCTAGCGGTTCATTACAAGAGATAGCTGAGTTATGTGGTATTTGCTCGTATACCACTAGGGGTCCACCCTCATTTACTCTCTGCCTATTCTCAACCTCTTTAAGCTTTTCTGAAAATATTTTTTGTTGATGCTCTAGTGCGCCATTTACGGCCGCTTCCATGAGTCTAATTACATCTTTATTACTAATGGTACCTGAGGTTTTCGCCTGTTCTTGTGTTGCTGTTGCCTCTTGTTGAAGGTCCTGATGTTGATTTTGAAATTCCTGGTCGTTAACCATTTTTACTTTGTCTGTAAAGCCGTCAATTAAGTTACTTAATTCTATATCTTCGTCGGTCTCAGTACCGTCAATGTAACCCCCTTGATGGCTATTATTTCTTATGTCTTTATAGCTCTGTATTAAGTCTTCGTCACTGTCGTTGTTTTCGTTACTGTTTCTATACATCGGACAATGATACTTTTTAAATTTTGTTTATAATTTGTATGAGAAAGAGCTCAATTTTCCTTCTTCATCATTTGTTTTTTAAAAAATTTGTAAATGAAAGTCGCTATACCTTTTAACTTTTAATTGCAATCACTCTTTTTTTTGTTTTATTTCGTTACTTATTATGTGTATTTTTTTCAAAAATTGGCACACATGTCTGGTTGACGTTAAAAGAGGTAAATTGAAAATAAAGATCTCACTTACATGTTATATTGGTATACTGGTATAATAAAAATGCATCGAAGACGGTAGCTGGTTGATCCGTTTATCCTCTGGCTGTCGTTTATTTAGCTGATTACTGTTGATATGCAGCGGTTTTCACTGTTGCTTGTGCAGCGTTGTTTTGTTTTTGTATTAGATAATTTTGTTTGTTTGTTGCTGTTCACTATTATTGTGCAGCGCGCGAGTCCGAAGTGTTTTCAAAGAAAACCCGATTACGAGACCTTGATTTCTAGATCTTTTTACTACGGATTTTACGGTTTTACGACACTTAAGCGCGTTGGGCGTCAATTAAACCAAATACGTTTGTATTGAATGGTTCTTTTTATTAGAGCCAACTGCTTTGAATTCTGGTATCTTACGAACTAAATGCAAATCAAATTTATTAAGGCCACCAAGTCTTCGGTTGGAGGCAGCGGACCCAGCAGAGCGCTTAGTCAGCCCCTCGTGCCGTCTGGAGTTCCGTGCCTTCGACGGTCACCCAGCGCGCACATGCCCGCCTCGCATTACGCTGACCCTTGCACATCGCTTTCGCTAAAGCGAAATGCGTTACTGGGCTGGCTCAGCGTCGCCGATGTTATTGTTGGTCCATCCGGTCTTGGATGGCATTTCGGCGGGTCGTCGCACCCCTCTGACTTGCTCGTGTTAACTTACACAGTACAGTTCATTAAGTCGATTTTTGAGATGTACAGGGTGCGTTATGAAAGTAATGCGCATGGTTTCATTGTCACGTAACTTCCTGTCGTAGCACGCTCGGACCTGTCTGAAAATCTGGGGCGGAGTCTCTCCTTTCCAACGCGCTTGGTCTCAGTTCGCTCTGAGCAATAGAAGTGGTAGGACGTGTCGTAGAGCGAAGTCATTTTTTCTGTTGTGTCACGGTGCGATGGAGCGTTCGCTGGAACAGCTCGGACACTCGGAGCTCTGTCGTTTGGATTCTGGATCGTACTCGAACATCCAGGATTCATCCCCAGTTACAGTAAAATTTACAAAACCTGGATCATTTCTAATCGATTCCAACAATTCTTCACAGCGCAAAACTCGAACGTTTTTCTGCTCCTCCGTCAACACCTTCGGCACAAGCTTCGCACAGACCTTTCGCATTTGCAAATCCTCCGTCACTATTCCATGTACCGCAAATGTTGACAAGTTTAGGATGTCAGCGATTGCCCGGATGCTTAACCGACGGTCTGAACTCAAAGTTTCTCGCACACGGCGAACGTTTTCATCAATTCGTGCTGTTGTTGGACGTCCGAAACGTGGATCGTCGGTGACCTCCTCTCGACCCACCTTGAAGGCCTTGTGCCATCTTCCACACTGAGATCTCGAAATGCACTCCTCCTTAAAGGCCTCTCGAAGCATTTGATAAGTTTCCGATGCATTTTTGCCAAGTCGCACACAAAACTTTATGGCGTACCGCTGTTCCAGCGAACGCTTCATCGCACCGTGGCACAACAGACAAAATGACTTCCTACCACTTCTATTGCTCAGAGCGAACTGAGACCGTTGGAAGACGCGTTGAGCGCATTGGAAAGGAGAGACTCCGCCCCAAATTATCAGACAGGTCCGAGCGTGCTACGACAGGTAGTTACGTGACAATGAAACCATGCGCATTACTTTCATAACGCACCCTGTATTATGTTTTTTTCTAAGCAATTTTTGCAAAGTGCTACAGGGCTGTTTAAATCGCAATGCGTCTTAAACGCCAAAGATATAAGAGCAGTGCCTTTATCAGACACCTTGCGTCAAGGATTTCCGAAATGTATGGCTTGCTTCTCGAGGCAGACTAATACTTCATCGTCACCTGTGCTATGTGTCTTTAATCTGAGCTACCTTTAAGCGATGGGTTATGAAGTTTGAAAAATGTTTTATTTTCGTCCATCCTGTAGTGGAAGTCCTACGAGCTACTAATTTTTTTTTTTTTGTTAATAGACATATTAAATGCGTAACAGTCGGTTACGATCTTGAACTTTAGCCTGAACCATAATCACGCCACTTGACTAGATTCCTTATTATAGACAACACCTTTAGCTTGTACGAATCGTACTCCTCCTCAAACGGTGAAGTCTTGCGACTCATGTATTGGACTGGATGAAAAGAACTGTCATCAGTATTCTTCTGCAATAAGACTGTCCTAAAACCGTACTTGGACGCTTCTGTGAGAATTTATGTCTGCAAGTTGAAATTGTACAACTTGAGAACTGGTTCGCTAATGACTTAACTTTGAATGCTAATGATTGTTTCTCACCGAATTCATACTTTGAACACGTAGGTGAATTAGATATGCCAAACGGAACGTAAATGTAAAAACTGCCCAGATTGGGTCACGAATTATGTCAAAATGATATCAAAACTAGTTGGATCGGTCAGTTCAAGAAATCGGTTGTTAGATCGAAAGTGGTGAATGTCTTGGACCCCAGTAGTTTGTCTCTGATAATCTTTTCGTTTAGCTCTACACGTCTCGCGCTTGTAGTCTGCTCGACTATCCTCGTGCACAATTCTCACTAACTGCCCCTGAGCTACGCTTCCGCTGGCCCTTTATATGTCGCGGCGAACCCGTTATTTCCCTTTGTGCGCACGTCCGCTTGACTCCATCTGTGTTCCAAGCTCCTACGCTGTTGCTTGGTGCCGCTTTCATGCACCCAAACTTGCGGGACTCCTCACACTATCCAGCGCTATAGTTTGGTAGACATTTTTAATATATCAAACGACTACATCATAAAGCGACAAAAGGAAAAACCGGAAGACCAATGTATAATTTGTCTAATTTATTTGTTAAATTAATTATTTGCTTGCAGAGGGTATAGTTTTTTTGTTTTTAACTATATATAATTTATATTTTATCATTTGTGTTACCAATTTCTATCGATATGCTAAAAGAATTTTAAAGTTAATCCCTCGCATTCGCACTATCTGACTAACGGGTTGATAGTCAAGGAACGATTTATTCTCACTTTCGAACTCCATTACGTTCACCATACAGATATTACCAGAACATAAGGTTGGGTATAGAGCGTTTGGGACAGCTTTTCGAAAACTTTCTCTAGCTGTTCTACCCTCAACGCTCGTTTCTATTTCTTCCTGACACAAGAAGTACAACAGTAATACAGACTGCCATCCTTAGCTGGGACATCGCTTGATCGACTATTGCAACCAGCGCACTACGAAAACATCTTATTATCATAAAGGTGTAATTTTTGGGTGCTCAGATTTTATTACCAACAGGCTTAACATTTACATTTTGTTTGGGAAATAGAGAGACAGAGCGAAAGCGTAGAACAGAAATAGGATCGTTGCATTTTTTTTTCAGTTTAATTAAAAATTACTCTCAAATGGAAAAATAAGGCTCAAGAGGTAACATAAAAGCAAATAGAAATTCGAAAAACGCGAGAATCGACGTAGCTTATATCGCTCCTGTCAACACAGTTTAAATACAGACTAGGCTTATGAGGCGAAGGAATGGTACCGCTTAAATATTATCCGAGTAGAATTAGTAGTAGCTGGGTCCATGTGTAACAGTTTTGCCAGGACTATTCCAAAAAATCTTTAGATCTCGATTAAATTACAGCCATAAATTTGTGAGTGAACGATTGGCGATTGGTTTGCTGATTGGCAGCCGGGTATTATCGGAAAAACTGGCTTTATTTTAAGTGGTATTCTAGAATAATTACCTAAAACTTTTTCGGACTTATAATCAACATACATTTTTATTTCTTTTTAGTGTGCAAAACAATTCAATTTCGACGTTACCATCATCCAAAACTGTTTTGAAAGTAACCGTGGTGTGGATTTGCTTAAAGTAATTGGAGAAGCAACTCATTTACTAAGGCCTCCTGTTACATTTATTCCAACAATCACGATAGACGGGTCACAAGGAAGGCAAGAATCAATATTAAAAGACTTATTTTCTGAAATATGTAAAGCAGCTGGAGATTCAGAAGAAGTTAAAGATGTATGCCAAAATTAAAAATAAAAACTAATAGTAGTTGTTGGCAAACATTAATCTTGTAAAGGAAATGTGAATCAATATACAATCATAAAATATTCTCAAGCATTCTTTAGATCTTAAATCAAAATAAAAGGTTAGCTGTGAGCTTTAAAAAACATGGAACATATAAACAAAGAAATTTCCAATTAATAAAATAAATTATCTTGGGTAGTTTTTTATAACCGTTACCCAATGTTCACAAAAAGGCGTAAACCAATTCAAAATTTCGGAAAAAGTGTAGACGTTATTTGTTCTTTCTTTCGGAGACAACTTTATTTGTCTTTTTCGCTGCATAAAAAGTTACGCAGTTAAAGGACGGTAATTTATGCGTCCGTGTGTGTGCCCACTGAACTTAAGTTTCGTCAAAAGTCTGTCGCAATTTCACGTGCACCTACTATGTTTCGTGAAGAAAATGTAAAAGTCTTTTTGTGGTAAATTGTTGAAATCTATTTACGAGTATAATGTGTGTGGTGTAAAGCTAAGCAGAAAACACATTTAGAATCTAAGGCGCTATTTGAAACACTCTGAAACAGAAGCAAAAGTGACAAACGATTGATTTGCATTGAAACAAATAATAAACTTCTAGCATCACCGATTGAGAAAATTTTCATTACAAATTGCAGCCTCTTTCTATTACTAGATAGTAAAGCATCTTAGTAAATTATATTTTTGACGCGCTTTTAAAAATTCGCATAACGACGCGAAATATTATGAATCTCGTAAAACCAAAAGTACTGTCTATTGGGAATGACTTTAAGTCCTTGGCAAGTGCAAAAAGTGGCTTATAGTAGATGTTACGAGAATGCTGTACAATGCCCTTGACAAATGGAAAAAGTGGCTTAAAGTATATGTTACGAGAATGCTGTAGTATGCCATTTTAGGAATCCACCTTTTGATGATCAATTCGCCTTTATAAAATTGTGAAATCATAATTAAAATTATAAATCCTATACCAGTTCCTACATAATGGAACGTATCACTGAAAAATAAGAATAATTTTCTGAAAAACAAAAATCCTAAACTATGTGTGGCTTTTATGATTTAATTAGGCGGAACAAAAAAAAAACATCTGCTCAATCAATATAAGTATAAACTAATATCATTTCTCTATTTTAATATGAAAGCTTAGGCCTAGCTTAGCTTAGCTAAAGGAAGAGAACGAAAGAGATTGTATAGACGCCGTTCGCTAGATTTTCTCCCGATTCTCGAGAAACCTATTTCACGGAAACTATTTACGGAGGCCTCACAAATTTTTAATTTTATATAGAAACAAAAATCAACGTCACAGATAGCAATTGGGCGAAGAGCACGAACTCGATCTGTAAATATTTTCTGTGTCATCAATCGAGGCTCGCATTTAACGCAGTGCATACAGAAACGAATATTCTGACTGCAGACATCCTGATCGTTTAAGATCCATACTCGCTGTCGAAAGGTACTCACCAGGGTTTGGTGCTGATATGAAAATTTGAATAATGCAAATGTATTTTAATTTTTTTAAGAAGCGGGAAATATACACAAACAATTTTAGATGTTTGAGGTGGGACGAAAATTCGGGGATCCCAAGTTTGAGTTCCCTACGTGCGACTCCACTCTTCCTTGTTTCTTTTACTTGGACATTTTCATCCACAACAAAATGTGCACTTGTGGGTAATTTGGCTTATCCTCCTGCCGGTCAACGTTTAGGTTCTTGATCGTCACAACCTCTTGATAATCTTTATTAAAGGTTTAATTCTGTGAAAGAGATCTGCGAGAAGGCGAACGGTATATATTAACAGTACGGTAACGGTATTAACAAACGGTACAGATATTAACCATTAAATAACCACGATACTCCGAAAGCCTTCGTATATTCTGAAGAGGAACCTGAAACACTTCAGACTTGATAGATCTTTTACAGTGTAAGCTCAAGGACTCTGAGGGATCTCTTCTCCACACTATTAGTTGAAATTGTCCGTCCGCTCCATTTAGCTTTACTTGGAGTTACATAGTGTGGAGTACAACTTATCTTGGGTAGTTGGGCCAACCATCAAAATATATTATTATATAGGGAAACCTGTGATGACGTTTCACAAGATGCATTAAGCACGACAAGCAACTTGTTAGACGTGGTCTGAGGTCTATGAACACATTAATGGGGGACGACATAATATGGAGTAAAACGACTTTTTTTTATCTGTAGGAGTCGTAGCCGTACGAGGTACGAGGTACAGCAAAATACATTTTCTTCAACCCGGGGTTATGAGATAGATCTCTTTTAAGCGACTATTTTGAAACCTCAAGTGAGTTGCCTAACCCACTTAGATCAGACTTAAGCTGCAGCCATACTTCAAATCTACCAATGGCAAAACCTGAGTTATCTTTTGATAGTGTTCTTGACAGAAAAAAAAAAAATGAATACCCAAGTGAAGTGAACATCTACCGAGCCAAAGCCCAATCTATTTTGCGGCCAATGAACTCGATTAAATTTTATTTAGACGCTGATTCGGTTAATCAGTATGGTGAAGCTGATTTGCTGTCGCGAGTGGAATGGATCAATTCCTTAAACTTGGCGTTTGATTCGGCGCAGAATCATTACGAATAACTCGAATGACCATCGGATTTAATTTCCCGCTGTATTCTTGTATGTGAAGGCGAAACTAATCCGAGGATTAGCTGCTCATCACAATTGCTGGCTTCAACCGCTGCGAAAACTGGATTACAGGAATTTATCAATCAATGAGCTGTCTACCTGGAATACTATGGGTCGTTTTTGGAGAAGAGATGCAGGATGATGGAAAACTTGGATCAAGCCTTGGTTTGCACAAATGCAAGTCGACTCACTGCAGATATTGTTGCATGAAGGCCCACTTATTATTGCACATGAATCATAACCAATCTGCACCATCCACTTTATTTTCATCTCGGTCATGCGACCCAATCTTGAGCTCTCTCTCCCATTGCCATTTATTTCATCAATATTAGTATCATGTTCTCTTTTATCATCGCAACCTGATCATCAGTCATCAAGCACTCCACCAAAAACCTCAAAACGTATGCCGATGGATTACGTGTTGCTTCCAACTGCTATTATCTACGTGATAAATAGGATTGGAGAATTTTTGATGTGCCTAGCAATTTTAGATTCAGGCTCTTAGTTAAACTTCATAACTTCTCGCTTAGCTAGTCTACTGAATTTAAATCGTAGTAGATGGATCTGCTAAAACGACTTTTGGTAGCTCTCTGAACGACTTGTTTTTTGCAGGGTCAATCTTTGAAGATATCTGTAAGATGTACCGTTGCGTGCGTGTTTCGGACTCGGATGACTTTTTTCAGTGGCGAAAGTTGAGTGTTTATACCCGGTACTCGTAGAGTAAAAGGGTATACTAGATTCGTTGAAAAGTATGTAACAGGTAGAAGGAAGCGTTTCCGACCATATTAAATGTATATATTTTTGATGAGAAACAATAGCCTAGTCGATCTGGCCATGTCCGTCTGTCCGTCCGTCTGTCTGTCCATCCGTATGATCGAGATTTCCGGAACTATAAAAGATAGCCAGTTAATATAACATGCAGATTCCAGAGACATACAAGCAACGCATCAATGTTTTCAAATGTTGCTACACTCACTCTAACGCCCACAAACCGCACAAAACTGTCACGGCCAAACTTTTGAAAAATGTGATATTTTTTCAGTTTTTTATATATATTGTAAATTTTTAAATTGTACGTCTCTATGACTCCTGCTGTAGATTCTGGCTGCCTTACTCTAGCCAACGACTCTTGATCGTATAGCTCATTCGGCAGCCTCGGTCCGTGTCCTTGTGTCGGAAACACGGACGCATAACCCGTAGAATGTGATACGCTTGAGCATGATCTCTGATCACTTCATGCCAGTTTTCCTAATTTGACTTTTGACTGCCGTCCGCTGGGAGTCATAGTTCTCTCGCAAGACGGTTTCGCTTAGTTGCACAGGGACGCACAGCTGGTAGGATACCACATCCTCATTCCTTGCTCTATGCTGCATTTGCCTATACAAAGTGTCGCCTTCCCATACATAGACGGGAGTTTCTGAGGGTGTGCCAATTTTTTCCCATGGACATCCGTGATCCAGCTGCGTTCCGTTTTCGACTTAGACTCGTCGAGTGGCGCGGACCCTGGCTCTGGTACTGGCTATCTGGATAGTGCATCCGTTTCCGCATTCAATCGGCTTTTCCTATATACAATTTAAAAGTCGTAATGCTGTAGCTACTGTCCATCTTCAGTTCGCCCTTAAGAGCATTAAACGTTGTTTCGCCACTTCCTAAACAATTGCCAAGCATTTCTTGTCTATTGCGAAATAGTTTTTCTCGGCGCCGTTTAGATTCCGACTGGAGTAAGATATATCTATCTTCTCACAGAGGAGATAGTCGCACCTATTCCGTAGTCACTGGAGTCCGATTAACATATTTCCCAAGTCAGGGCACGCCAACGCTGGTTCTGTAATCAGCCGTGCTTTCTCCTCTACCGTGTCCACCGCTCATCATCGCACCTTCTGCACGTGACCTGTGCTATGCTGGGGTTTTGTTTCGGGTAAACTTATGTAAACTTCTGCAGCTCCCCGTACTTGTACACCAGGATCACCAGTGATTCAAGGGTGCCCACATGGTATGGTCTCAACGCTATTCGCAGGCCAGGCCTGCAGCTTTTCTTTATAATGTCGAGCATTTCATGTTCCAAGGTCTAAGGTCTGCATCTCGATCATGTAGTCCATGAAAGATTCTTAAAGCACTTGCTTCCGTTGCCTCAACTTGTCTGCGAGTTTGGCAAAGTACCCCCTGGACGGAAAAACTATATTAAAGCTCTCAAATCATGTTATTGGAAATTAACTACTTAAGATTCTTTCATTGCATCAATTTTGGCATCGCTCGAGAAATCATGTTTAGGTCTGGTGGTGGACTTTTGTGGTACTTTTGAATGTTAGTGTAGTATTTGCAATTTGAGAAAAATTTGGGATTGGTTCAAATGACATCGTCCAAGGAGAGAGGTTCAATTGTTGCATATTATCGGGCCATTGCTGAATTTAGTGGGTTGCCCAAATTTTTGGAAATTTCGTCATTTAAGTGGTCGGGGGATTTCGGGTCGCACATTAACGCGCTCATATAC